AGTCAGATCATGATAGACCAGGGTCACACATGTGCAATCCCCAGAACCCCAGAACTGTGTGTGGCCTCAAACCAGGCTCCAAGACCTTAGCTTGGGATCCAAGGAGCACTCTGTGTTTGAAGCTGATGCAATCTCCCTCTGCAGATTCTTAGAATATCCATAATACGGTGTTGTTTTCCTTAGACTGATGAGTCTCTGGGGCAGGAATTTTTATCTGCAGTTCCTAACCCAGTACTGGTACTTATTAGTACTTAGTATACACTTATAGAATAACGGAATGCACGTGTGGTTTCCAGCGTCCACCCACTGTGGCTGCCTTGCTCAGTGTACTTGGGATGAACTCAATTTCACACAAAATTTTACAGGTATACCAAGCAGCTCAGGGGGTGGGGACCCATAAGCTGGTCCTTGTGGGTCTGCATACTAGACCTTGGAGAATGCGGACTCAGATTGCGGTGGGATTGAGGAAGGAACCCTCCCCCCAATCTTCATAGGCTTCTTGGTCAGCTATTTGCCTCTTATCCACATCCTACTCCATCCCAGCTCTTTTCACTTTATATGCAATAATAATAATCTTTTTTTGGGGGTGGATGGGGAGTGGAAGGACTTTGTCTTTCTCTCACCTATCCTTGAAAAGTGATTATTTGGAAACTCCCCCAGATAGACTAAAGCAGGCCACAATGTTAAGATTTTGTAAAGCAACTTCTTTTTCGATCAAAATCAGGACATAAAACTTTCAATAGTTACTTGTACCCAGGTATAATGTAAATTCATTTCATTTGTTCATCAAGGATGAACTACTTGCCTTCTACAGGTCTAGGCTTGAACACTGGGTAGAAAGAGAAAAAAGATAGACCCTGATCTCAGAATGCTTAAGTGCAACTTTTACACCACAAGTTTCTATTACTTTTTCAGAAATGCTCAGTTACATGGAATGTAATGGGTGGGGGAAGAGAACCCAATCCTTCCTCTTTTCAGTGGTTCTTAGAATATACAGAGAATTGGAAGCAAGAAAGTAGCCTGCCCTTAGCCTTGTGGATTAGTAGGTATAATCTTTGGGGGACTTTCTCAGGGGAAATCCTGGAGAAGTGGCTTTGCCATGTATCTGTGCTCTTTTGTTCTATATGGGTACCATGTCAGTCTGGGTGCTCCAAAAAGAAAATGCCAAGCCAGGCACTGGTGGCCCATACCTGTAATCCTAACTACTTGGGAGGCAGAGATCAGGAGGATCAAGGTTCGAAGTTAGGCAAGGCATCTATCTATCTATCTATCTAACTTGAAAATATCCGACACACAACAAAAAGGCTGACAGAATTGCTCAAGTGGTAGAGCACCTGCTAGCAAGTTCGAGGCCTGGGGTTCAAATCCCAGCACACCCCCTCCCCAAAAAAGAAGAAAATGCCACGAGGGCATTAGATGGATGTGTGAGAGATCTGTTGAGGAAAATGCCTGTGAGAATGGGGAGGAAGGCAGAAGAGGTTGGTGAGCTGCCAAACAGTACTGCAAGACTTATCCTTGGGAAGAAAAGCAAAGGAAAGAAGGTGGGGTAGGGAAGGCCTCAGACTGCAGTGCAGGTAAGGAAGTTTCCACAAGCCAATGGAGTGTCTTTGAAACAAAGTTACCTGTCAAAGGAAGCTGACTTATAGAAATGGGTCTTAGTGTTCCTGCCTTTTCCTCATTGGCTGGGAACAGTCTGTGGGACGTGTAGCCTCAGCACCAAGTTGGCAGTAGATTCAAAGCCCGGTGACCAGGACGCTGAGACAATTACCAAGCTGCAGTAGGTCTGAGAGGGGCCTTTTCACGACCTTCCCAAGTCCCAGTTAACACATCCTGAGCAGCCCCTCTCCCTTCCTCCTTAACCCTATGGTAATAGCTCTGAAATACAAGTTACAGATGACTACTTTCCCTGTTTACAACTGTCCACAGATACTGATGCAAAGAAACAAAGTCACTCCATATATGGATGGAAATAAAATGTGAATTTGATTTTTCCAAGGTCCATGGGTTGTTTCTTGTTCTCCAACCGCTAGCTCTTCAGCTTGCAGCTGTCAGATAGGCGTGGTTCCTCACCTCTGAGAGTTTGGTAGCTCCCTCATTGCTTTGCACTCTGACGAGGGACTTGAGATTCACACAAAGTCCCCAGCATTCCTTTTACCCAGTAATTTCACTATCTCTGCCAAGCTTTTCTCAGAGTTGCCGCCAAACTGAAATAAAATGTCAGATTTGCTTTTCACTTCAAACTGTGCACTTTATGAAATTGTGTACTTACTGGGTAAAGAGATTTCTGGGAAGACAAATTTCCTCATTAGTCCATAAAAGAATAATGGGGAGCTAGTATTAAGACACTTTATCAGACAGACATAGCAATAAGTGCGTTACCTTTCAATTTCACCATGACCCTCTGAGATCAATATGGATTGCTTCCTTTTACAAATCAAGTGTGTTCCCAGGCTACATGGTGAGTAAGGGAAGGATTTGGCTATAACTCAGTCCACGTCCTTTGACTCTAAGATGGGTGCTCTTTCTGGTCCCATGATTTTGGATTCATACCTCAGAAATTTTACCTGATTTCTTTTCTTTTTTTTATTGAGGGTACTGAGGTTTGAACTCAGGCCCTTGAGAGATTGTTTGACAACTGCTGTACCACTTGAGTCACACCCCTTGTCCTTTTTGCTTTCATTTTTTGGATAGGATCATACATTCTTCCCAGGCTGGCCTTGGATACGATCCTCCTGCCTCCTATATTGCTGGAACCACAAGCATCCATCACCACACCTGGCCTACCTGATTTAAAAATATGGATTAAGCTGGGTGGGGTGGTGCACACCTGTAATTCCAGAACTTGGGAGATGGTGGCAGAAGGACTTCAAGTTCAAGGCCAGCATGGACTACATAGCAAGACTCTGTCCCAAAACAAACGAGCAGCTGAGTGATAGAGTGCTTGCCTAGCATTCACGTACATGCAAAGCCCTGGGTTTGATCCCCAGCACCAGAAATACATTAAAAAAGAAAAAAAAGGTCAGTCTCAAGGCTGGGCTTTATTTCCTACCAAAAATTTCCTGTCAATTGGAGGTGAAAATCAAAGGAGCTGTTTTCGTCTCCTCTCCCACAGCACACCAGAATATCCAGGTGGGGCTGCCAGAGCAACCCTGAAAGGCCCTAGTCCTGCTATCCAGACTGGGCTGTATTTTAGGAATTTTTGAGATAAAATTCACTAATATCAAATGGCCATTTTAAAGTGAACAATTTGCCAATGGCTCCCGCCCATAATCCTAGCTACTCAGGAGGCAGAGATCAGGAGGATCATAGTTCGAAGCCAGAACTGGGTAAATAGTTTGTGAGGCCCTATCTTGAAAAAACAAAAAAATCACTAAAAAAGGATGGTGGAGTGGCTCAAGCGGTAGCCTAGCAAATGTGAGGCCCTGAGTTCAAACCCCAGTACTGCCAAATAAATAAATAAATAAATAAAAAGTTAATTGAACAGTTCAGTGGTATTTGGAGGCACAACATAAAACTCTGTTCTCACTAAGTGGTTATTCCACCCCCTGAACTTAGCAGCCACCATTCACTTTCTGTCTGTATGGAATTACCTATTCTTCATATTTCATACAAATAGAATTTTATATGACTTTTTCTGTTTGCCTTCCTTCACTTAGCATGTATTTGAGATTCACTCATGTTGTAGCATTTATCAGTACTTCATTTGTTTTTTTGTTTTTTTTTTTTTTGTGGTACTGAGTCTTGAACTCAGGGCCTTCACCTTGAGCCACTCCACCAGCCCTATTTTTGTGAAGGGTTTTTTGAGATAGGGTCTACCAAACTATTTGCCTGGGCTGGCTTCAAACCGTGATCCTTTTGATCTCTGTCTCCCACGTAGCTAGGATTACAGGCGTGAGCCACTGGTGCCTGGCTACTTCATTACTTTTCATGGCTGAATACTGTTTCATAATTTATCCATTTGTTGTGAACATTTGAGAGTACTTCCAACTTTTGGCTATTACGAACAAGTCTATCAGGAACATTTCACATGTAAGTCTTTGAGCAAGGCTGTTTTGGTACCTTGGTGTAAGGGACATCTCTCTCTAAACAGTCCTCATGGCTTCTTCCCCTCACCCTGTTTAGTACTGGGGACTGAACCCAGGGCCTCACACTTTTCTTGGTCTACTATTTGAGCTACACCCCAGCCCTTTTGTTTTTGAGATGGGGCTCTTGATAACTTTGCCCTACGCTGCCCTTGAACTTTCAATCTTCCTTTCTTCACCTCCTGAATAGCTAGGATGACAGGTGTGCATCACCACACCTGGCTTCCACGTAGCTTAAAGGACGAAGTCATGTCATTTGCAGGAAATGGATAGAAGTAGAATTCATCACGTTTAGTGAAATAAGCTAGACTGAAAAAGACAAGTATCACATGATTTTTCTCAGATGTAGAATCTAGAAAAAAAGACACGAAAGTAGAAGAGTGACTGCTAGAAAAAAGGAAGGGGATCTGGGACAGAGGAAATAAGAAAGGGTCCTGGGGCAGATATGAGCAAATTATGTTATATGTATATATGAAAATCATATAATGAAACCCATTATTTTGTATAATGATTATACACTAATAAAATATATGAAAATATAAAGAATCCTTATGGCTTTGGAAAAGACTGGCCAAATGGCCCTTTCTGAAATCCCAGTTCTTCAAGTGACTTGAGCTCCAAATCATTATACCAATATGGCACTTGCAGGATGTTTTGGCAATTCTGTACTTAACTTTTTGGGGAACTGTCAAACTTTTTCACAGGAGTTACACCAATTCATATCACCATCAGCAAGGTCCAAAGATCCTGTCTGCCTTCTCCACATTTAAGACTTTTAAACTGAACCAGTCACAGGATGAGGAAGTGGCCTGTCTAAACGTTTTCCTCTTTCACATTTTAAACTTTCTCTTTCACATACAGCCTACGCTCGAAAGTCAGTAGGAGGAAGGATATGCTATTGTGATGCAAAGAGAAATTCCAGGGGCCTCCAGATACCATGTGCCCCACTCCCGCCAAGCTCGGCGAGCCCTGGCTTCAGTCCGCCGCAGCTGCCCCGGTGAGCGGCTGCAGCCCGCGCGGCACCTGCTGCGGGAAGATGAGCGAGGGCGAGTTCGCCTTCACGCATGCGCTGGCCCAGGACTACCTGCGCCACGTGCTGCAGGTGCAGCCCGCCGGCCTGGGGGCCAGCAAGGCGGCCCGAGTGCTGCGAGACGTCGCCTTCTCCATCCAAGAAGAAGTGGAAAAGAGTCTGCAGCCATACTTGGACAAATGTGATGTGGCGTCCGTAGATACTGCCAGAACCATATTCAATCAAGTGATGGAAAAGGAATTCGAAGACGGCGTCATTAACTGGGGGAGGATTGTGACCATATTTGCATTCGGAGGAGTTCTCATCAAGAAACTTCTACGAGAGCGGATTGCCCCAGATGTGGATACTTACATGGAGATTTCTTACTTTGTGGCTGAGTTCATAGTGAATAACACAGGAGAATGGATAAAGCAAAACGGAGGCTGGGTATGTGTGACGGAAAATGCTTTCACTGTTCTTTACTGTGAAATAAGAATTGCGAGTTTCCTTGCTAATTACAACAAAGCACCTCACTAAGGATTTTCTTTCCTTTGGGAGGCTCACTTAAGAAGTTTTAAGCTGAAAACCAAACAACTTTCTGGCTCATTTCCAATGAGTCCTTGAACTCTGTAGTTGGAAAACTCTTTATCTCCAGTTTTTATTCTAACAGTATGAATTATAGTAGTGAGCTTTGAGATTAAAATGGCAGCTTTGTAATGTAGCTGCAGGACCTGCAGTGCTCTCCAGTACTTGCCTTTTGCTAGAGTTGTGACAATGTAGCATTAGTGCAGAAAAGCTGGTAGTAGATGTTGTATGTAGGTACTTATGTTGCAAAAGAAAGGTGGACATTTTTGCAAGTTCACTTACAAAAATCAACTTACAAGTTGATTTTTTTCCAGTTTTCTAATATAACAAATTCTGTGCTGTTAAAATTTGTTGACAAAAAAAGACGTACTGTATTACCAACAAGAACCTTTTGTCAAGAATTTTCACATAAAAATTCACTTTATGAATTTTTTATGGCCTATGTTGGAACTCAGGTTGGTAAGAAGCCTTTCACAGCTAGATGTATATGCCTCCCTATGTGACCCAATACACTTAATACTGAATTTAAAAGCCACTTATGTCCCCATGTAGCCTCTTTCCAACTCCTGACCACAGCTCTCATCTCTCTCGAGCAAAATCACTGTTATCTATCATTCTACATGTGAAACATGCCTACTGAATATATCCATAGAAAATATAATATCATTTCTTCCTTATTTCTTTTAGAGGCGGTGGTCTTACTATGTTGTCCACACCTAGAACTCCTGGGCTCAAGTGATCCTCCAGCCTGCCTCCCAAGTAGCTGTCCCCACAGGTGCATGCTACCATGCCCGGCTAACAGATTTTTTTTTTTTTCTTTTTGGTTCTAGGAACTGAACCCTTGTAAATGCTAAGCACGCACTGCGCCACTGAGCTGTACCCTCAGCCTCCCCAGCACTTCTTCATAAAAATTTTTGTATGTAAAAGTAGTACATGGTACTTACCCTACAACTTTTTTTTCCATGCGGGACTATTTAAAACAGCATTCTGAAGAGTACTTCGTGTATTCTGTTGTATGTTTATATTGTTGAGTAGCATTTGTAGCTGATGGGTATTTAGGTTATTTCCAGAGCTTGCTATCACAATGTTCCATTGAATATCTTCATACATGTCTTTCCTTGTGCATGAGTGTGTTTTTTAGGGTGGATGTTGGATTATAGAATTGCTGGTTGTAGTGTGTATTCATTTTTTTAATTTACTAGGTCTTTGCCCTCCAAAGTGGTTCTGCCAAATTATACTTCTGTCAATAGCTTGTTAGACTATCCAGTATTTCCCCCATACTAGCAGACTGCTGTTAGGTTGTAGCAGTCTGTCATAATTTCCCCAACTAGTTAGGTTAAAAATATATGCTTAGTTTAGGGCTGGCAGAGTGGCTCAGGTCATAGAGAACCTGCCTAGCAAGCATGAAGCCCTGAGTTCAAACCCTTGTGCTGCCAAAAACAAAACAAAAATATATGCCTAGTTTATGACATGTTAATTACTGTTTCCTTGAGTACTAGTAGAGCTAGGCATCTTTTCCTGTGCATACTAGTCATCTGTAATTCTTAGTCAAGGAATTGCCTATCTATAGCCTATTTATAGGATTTTGTCTTTTTCTTATTCACTTATAGGAATTCTTTGAGTATTCTGGATATAAATTATTTCTATATGTAGCGATTTCTTCTAGTTTGTTGGTTATTTTTTAAAAGTGTAGATGTCATTCTAAATGTTTAAAAGTTTGATGCTATCAAATTTATTATCCTTTACTTGGTTTATTTCTATTTTGTTGCCTAATGGTGGGCCCTACTGCAACCAGTCCTTGATCCATCACTTTCATTTTCCTGGGACTCTTCTTTCTAGCTTAGCTCCACTTGGGGCTGCAGGGGAGCACGTTGAGTGTTTGGTCATGTTTTCTTCTGGTTGGCTGTGGGAAACTGTAGTGAATGTCTCAGCAAATCTCAGCTGCACCATGTAGATTTCAAGTGAAGGAAAACATTCTCCTGCACAGAAGCCACATGTGAGCCTCCTAGGCTCACTGGAGGTTTGGACTGTGTTCCCACTGCACAGTATCATGCTTGGAACACACAGCGAATACATGTTACTTAAAAATCTAACTTCTTCACAGTAAAATTTGTGAGTTCCTGGAATTCACAATAAAGGGGTAGGAGTTATGGAATGATCTCTTAGCATTTCTAGAAATACGCTCATCTTTCAGGGCTATACAGGTGTAAGCATGCATGTAGCAGGATGAACCTATCCTGATAGAGATACAAATGCTTACACTGCCCACACACCCCCTCAGCCTTCACAAAGCCCTTTATGTGAGGATTCACTTTACACTCAAGAGGCTTAGGGTGTTCACATGATAGAAACACTCGTTTTGTTTGTTTGTTTTGTGGGTTTGAACTCAGGGCCTCACACTGGCTTGAGTCAAGCCCCCAACCCCATCAGAAATGTTCTTTAAGATGTCATTTCTTTTTCTTTTCTTTCTTAGGCACTCTACTGTTGAGCTATATCTCCAGTTCATTTTCACTCTAGTTATTTTGGAGATAGGATCTCATGAACTATCTGCCCAGGCTGGCCTTTAACTGCAGTCTTCCCAGTCTACTCTCATAGCTGGGATTACAGGTGTAAACTACCAGCACCCAGTTTAAGATGTCATTTCAAAGCAATCTCAGTGCTCTGTTCCAGCTCACACGTGGTTTTCATTAGTGACAGGCAGTTGTCGTTTGAGTCAGTACACACAGGTATGCCAAGCTGAGCTTCTTTCCACAGTGCTTTTGTTGTGGGAATCTCAAGCTGAGAATCGGGACACTGAGGCAGTTTAGCAGGAAGCAACATTTTATTGTGCTGACAAAGACCCAGCAGACTTGTGTCCAAAGGCTGGGCCCTGAGAACAAAGGGGTCTCACCTTATAAACCCTTGCAAGCAGGTTGCAGAAGCAAAAAGCAAAGCTCAACCCACATATGGCTGCATGTGTCGTTATTGGCTATTTCATCTTCCCAGTGCTAAGTGACCTTTATGTTTCAATTCTTTAAGTTTTATCTCTCTGCTATGCCATCCCTTCCCCCTGCCTCATTACCAGAACACAGCCTGTCTGTTTCTCTTCTGCCCTCCTCCCTGCTACACTTTGACAAATCTGCTCCAATGAATGGGTTTACTCTTGAATGATTCATTTCATGAGAACTGCACTATCACGTGTCTGTGTTCATAGAGGTGACCCATAAGAAGAGGGAAAGAGGCATTTCACAACTTTTCCCTCCTGAAGAAAATTTATAAAACCCCACAGTGATTATAAAATACAGAATCTATGACCTAACTACATTTTAAAAGTGTCAGAGACCTGATGAAAACTTTTGGATTACCAGTGTCGTATGAGAGCATAGTATAAATATGAAGAGCACCAACTTCGATTCAGACAGCTCTGGGTTCATTTCCAGGATCCAGTGCTTACTATCAGCTTAACTGGAACAAGTTACATAACTTCCCTAAGTCTGTTTCCTCATCTGTGAAACCGGGAGAGTGTTGCAGCCTGTCTCCTGGGGCTGATGGAAAGGTCAGATCAGTTAATATACGCTAAGCATCCAGGACAGTTCCTGCAATGAAAGTGTTTAGGGTTATTCTAGTACTTTAGTAGTGTTGCCTAACTTCCTTTGAGAGAATCTGATTAAATATATTTGTCTCTGTAAGTTATATGATCAATTAGAGTTAGATATTAGTCATCATGTATCACAGATGCACTAGAGAGAAAAATATGGCTGATGTATCAATGAGATTCACAATCTCATTCTTTATTCTCTTTTCTATCAGCTTGACCGCCCTTCTTCCCTCCCTCCCTCCCTCTCTCCCTCCCTTCCTTCCTTCCTTCCCTCCATCCTTCCCTTCCTCTCTGCCTTCCCTTCTTACTTCCTCCCTCCCTTCCCTCATTCCTTCCCTCCCTCCTTTCCTCCCTTTCTTCTTCCCTCCCTCTCCCCTCCCTCCCTCGTTCCTCATTTTTCTTCTGTGTGTTTTTCTTCCTCTTCCACATTTACTGTTATTTTCTCCTGTCCCCTCTGCCAATTTGAAGTGCTGAGGCTGAACATGGATGGGCTCTTAACAATATCTGATAGGAGACTTACCATTAGTTTTTAGTTATCTTCAGCATTTAGGAGGAAAGGATGGTTTTAAAAGCCATTAGAGGGCTGTGGGGTGTGGTGGTTTGTGCCTGTAATCCCGGCTGCTTGGGAGGCAGAGATAGAAGGATCTTCATTCAAGGCCAGCTGGGGCAAAAAGTTAGTGAGACTCTATCTCAATGAATAAGCCAGGCATGCCTTTAATTCTAGCTATGTGAGAGGTGAAAGTAGGAGGATCAATGTTGCAGGCAAAAGCAGGAGACCCTATCTGAAAGATAAATTAAAGCAAAAAACGCTGGGGGGTGTAACCCAAGTATAAAAAGTGTGCTTAGCAAGGACCAGGCCCTAAGTTCAAATCCTAGTACTGCCAAATTTTAAAAAGCCATTAGAATATGCTTTAGTAGCCAGTGCAGCACCTATAGTCTCAGCTACTGAAGAGGCTAAGGCTGGAGGATCACTGTTTGAGCCCAGGAAAAGTTCGGGATCAGCCTGGGCAACATAGCAAGACCCTGTATCTCACCCCTTTCCCTTCCCTTTTATTTCCTTTCCTTACTGTGGATTGAAGGAAGGACCTTGTGCTTGCTAGGCAAACACTCTATCACTTGAGTGATGTTCCCAGCCCCTCAATATCTCACCCCTTGGAATTATGCTTCCTTTTGAGCTAGTTGCCTTTGACGAGGCATTTTCCTGGGTCTGTGCTGGGAAAGGGGAAAGAATATTTGCTCTTAGTTCCACATAGGAGGAATCATATTTAAAAATGCCTCACGGTTACCTGACAACTTAGCACAGGGCCTACTGCACAAAAGGCACCCAACACATATTTGTGGAGTTTTTTCTTTGTTTTTTGACTGTATTAGGATTTGAACTCAGGACTTCACTCTTGCTAAGCAGGCACTCTACCACATAAGCCATGCCTCCAGCCCAGTATTTTTTTTGTTGACAGAATGATGGAATGAACTAACATTGAGTCCCAATTTTCCCCTCTTACTGGAGGTATAACCTTGGGTAAGATACTGAAGTACCTGACATTGAGATTTCTTATAATAATGTGTATAAAAATAAGACATGACACAATGGAATTTTATGCAGCCATGAAGAAGAACGAAATGTTATCATTCGCTGGTAAATGGATGGAATTGGAGAACATCATTCTGAGTGAGGTTAGCCTGGCCCAAAAGACCAAAAATCGTATGTTCTCCCTCATATGTGGACATTAGATCAAGGGCAAACACAACAAGGGGATTGAACTTTGATCACAAGACAAAAGCGAGTGCACACAAGAGAGATATGAGGATAGGTAAGACACCTAAAAAATTAGCTAGCATTTGTTGCCCTTAATGCAGAGAAACTAAAGCAGATACCTCAAAAGCACTGAGGCCAACAGGAGAAGGGGACCAGGAACTAGAGAAAAGGTGAGATCAAAAAGAATTAACCTAGAAGGTAACACACATGCACAAGAAATCAATGTTGAGTCAACTGCCTGTATAGCTATCCTTATCTCAACTAGTAAAAACCCTTATTCCTTCCTATTATTGCTTATACTCTCTCTTCAACAAAATTAGAGATAAGGGCAAAATAGTTTCTGCCGGGTACTGAGGGACTGGGGAGGAGGGGGAGGGAGTGGGGTAGGTGGTAAGGGAGGGGATGGGGGCTTGGGGAGAAATGATCCAAGCATTGTATGCACATATGAATAATAAAAAAATTTAAAAAAAGATATGATATAACATAATAGATGTTATATATAAAATGAAGATAATAATACCTACTTGAGAAAGGAAGGTAAAGGACTAGAAAAGACATTTTTGTAAAAGTACTTTGTGAACTGCCAGGTTCTATGCAACTATATGGTTATATGGGAAATTCCAAGAAGTTTAAATATATAATTCTTAAAATTAGTCCCTTTGAAGAAAGCCCCTTTGAAGGTAGGCTTTGAAAGTTTGTACGGAGTTGGTACTTTCCAAGTAACCTGAATATTAAAGCTTGGGTCTTAAGAGTTAGGCCACAAGGCCAACCTACTCCCCTAATACAGCCTCAATCTATTCAAGTGGGCTGTGCCCTTGTGACCTAATCACCTCTTAAAGGTCCCTCCTCTTGATACCATCGCAATGGCAATTAAAATTCAACATGAGGTTTGCAGGGTTCAAACCATAGCAATATAGCATCTTATTTTATGCTTTATACTTTCCTGAAACCAGAGTAACTCAATTTAACAAACTATCACTGTTCCCTGGTAATCAGACCTGAGCATACCTTATTTACTATTGCATTACTGAAAAGATAACAAATCTTTTTTTGTGTATTTATTTATTTATATTTATTTGGTGGGACTAGGGCTTGAACTCAAGATTTTGCACTTGCAAAGCAGGTGGTCTACTGTTTGAGCCACACCTTCAGTCTATTTTTCTGTGGTTATTTTGGAGATGGGAGTCTCAGGAACTATTTGCCTGGCTGGCCTTGAACTATGATCCTCCCAATCTCAGCCTTCCAAGTAACTAGGATTACAAGTGTGAGCCACTGGCGCCCAGCTTGTGTATTTATTTTTACATAATAGTTTTAATTACCCAAATAGCATCATTAAAGGACATATTTTTGGAAAGAATGTATTTGAAAAAAAATATTTTGAAAAGAAGAAAATCACTTCCTCTACCCTCACATATCCTTGTGTAGACACTTTGTGCAGTTCTAATTAGGGTACACATAAAAGTTTTTTCACTATTACAAATATTTTCAACATTGACTCACATATTCCAGGTTAACATTTCTATTGCCTACAGAATATTCCACTCATTTAGTGTAGCACAATTTCCTTAAGCAGTTCCCTATTGTTAGACATTTGAATTTGTTCCAGTTTTTCCTTCTTAGAAATAATGTTTCCATGATGAACCAGCCGGTTTCTTCCTAGCCCACTCCCTCCAATAGTTTAGAAGACGGACTCATGATAAATTTCTTTCACTTTCTTCCTTCTCCTCCCTCCCCTCTCCTCTCCTCGCCTGTTTTTGGTGCTGGGGATTGTGCCTCATGATAACTTTCCAACCATGGACTGACTGGTTCATAAAACATACTTGCACCACTCACACCTGTTGAAGTACATGCTGGTTTCTAAAAATATTGTACGAATGGAAAAATATCAGAATCTTGTTAGCACTGATTGGCATGATTAAAAATAATTTTTAGGGTTTAATAGGCTTAAAACCACAAGATCAATAAGCATTCTTTATTTTTGGTGGTACTGGGGTTTGAACTTAGGACCTCCTGCTTGCTAGGCAGGTGCTCTACTACTTGAGCCACTCCCTAAGTTTTAGGTAAATAAGTGTAAAAAGCAATAAGATCGTGTGGAAATGGAAATTTCTTTAAGTGCTAGGAATGTTAATTTTTTTCCCATGTACTGTGATTTATGTTTCTCTCTTCAATGGCCTTCCCCCTTTTAACTTTAAGTGGCTTAACGATTTTCTCTTTCACTTGAATGGACTCCTTCATGGTATATGTAAATATTTTCCCAGTTATTGTTCTTTTTAGTTTTAAAAATATTTTCATCTTCATATAATTGAACTTGTCCTTTTTCATTTGTTCACCCTTCAGATGGTGAATGTCTGTAAAAAGATGACATGTGAACTGCCCAAGCATACTATACAATAATCATTGCCATAAAAATAAAAAATCATTTTAGAGGGCCTCAGTGTAATTGCCAACTAGGAAAATTCTAGGGGAAGGAGAGCAACAAAGTGTCTACACATCTAGAATGTATGGCAAATGCGAGTGTATAAAGGTAGGGGAAGAGGAGGCAGAGGGAGGAGCAGTATCTTCCCTCTGTTAGGGGATGATAGCATGGGCCTCACTGTCACTCGACATTTAGCATGCACACAGAAGTAACTGCCTTTCTTAAGCAATCCTTCACATGGAAAATCCCCCACTACAGTGGTGACCTTCTCTATCAGTGATGTCATAACATCCCAGGCCCTTCCAATGCCCAAAGAGGTTAGCTTGGTCCACTTCTCAGTAGTATTAGTCACAGCAGGCAGTCACCTACCTGGAGGCATTTGTAACCTAGATTCTAGAACTTGCAAGATGCAGGGCAAGCGTTTGCTAGATGAACACTTGGAAAATCATTTTAACAGTTTTCTAATTCTTTTTGGTGCTTGGAAATGTATGGTCCAGGCATTAAAGAGTTGGGTTATCTTAGATAACTTATTTTTTAATGGGCCTCAGTTTCCTCATTTGTTAAAATAATAGAGGGTATTAGACTGGAAGCAATTTTCAATGAGGATATTTTATGTTTATAGATTACAAGGTAATGACAGTATACAGCTCCATTGGGTTATCCTATTTAAAAAATATGTCTAATCTCAAAAAGAATGAATTATAGAAAAATCATTAACCTTCTCACAAGTTCTAAAGCATTGGTTTAATTTGTATTTAGTGTGAGTCCTCAATTCTCAATACAATATAGTTTATAAATATAAATGCTTTTTTCAGTGCTAGACAATTGAAAGTGAAAAAAAACTAGATTTCCTTCCCTCTAGAGCTCTGTCTGCTATCCAATACAGCAGCCACTAGTCACGGATGACACTGAACAAGATGACTGCTGAAATGTGGCCAGTCTGAATTAAGATGGAAGTATTAAATACTCATTGGAATGTTTTGGGGTTTTTTGGACAGTACTGGGGGTTGAACTCAGGGCCTCACACTTGTTGGCATGTGCTCAGTCACTTGAGCCATGCCCCTAGCCCTTTTTATGTTGGCTATTTTTGAGATAGGGTCTCCCTTTATGCTCCAGCTGGTCTGAACTGTGATTTTCCTATTGTGCCACCCTGCATAGTTGGTATCACAGGTACACACCATTGCACCCAGCTATTGCTTGAGATGTGGTCTCATCAAATTTTTGCCAGGGCTGGCCTTAAACTGTGATCCTCTCCATCTCTGCCTCCAGAGCAGCTAGGATTACAGGGTTGAGCCACCATGTCTGGCATACTCACTGGATTTTGAAGATTTGGTATGAAAAAAAAGAATAAAATATCTCAGTGATTTTATACTGTGTACATTTTGAAATAATGTTTGGGTATATTAAACATATATTAGATATGTTTTAAAATTATTTTTGCCTTTATCTTTCTACTTTTTAAAATGTGGCTGTAAAATATTAAAACTTGGACAGTGCTGCTCTAGAGAGATCTGGTATTAGAGCAAAGAACAATGGTGATGGTGAACTGAATACAGAGACAGTACACAGAGGATTGTTTGCATAATTTAAAGAAATTTCTCTGCTTCTTTATTCTAGCAAACTTAAACTGCACTGATTTTTAAAATGTTAAATTCATTCTCTCATAGGAAAATGGCTTTATAAAGAAGTTTGAACCTAAGTCTGGCTGGCTGACTTTTCTGGAAGTCATAGAAAAGATCTACGACATGCTGTCCCTCCTGAGGCTATACTATTGACGAAAATGACACTGGCTCTTGCGAGAACTATTGCCAATACATACTACCTTCTATTTTTAAACAAGCAGCTTTGATGATGCAACTTGATTTACCAGAGTCATGGACACTTTGTCTCCACTTCACTGAATAAATTGTACATATTTGTGTCCATATGTGATTTTGCCTCAATGTTTTTGAGCCTGCATGGAACTTCAGCAAAAGGCCAAAGCTGAATACAAGAGACAGGTGCTAAAGGCAGGAACATTCATTCCCCTCTTCCTGGTGGTGTCTTTTCTGCCCCAGAAACACTCTTTCTTAAGGATGTATCCATCATCCAGAGGTGCTTCTCTGTGTCTCTAGGCTAGACTACGCAGGGGCTATGGTTTTCTTCTCCCTCCCAGCTCATGCTTTGTGTAGCCCCAGTTCCTGTGGCTGCTGGTAGTGTTTCCCACTGATGCCCTGCCCCTAAACTTCACTCTGGCTTGTCATTTGGGGTTGATGAATGTAGCAAGCAGATGTGCAAGTACTGGAGCTCACCAAATGATACCCCAACATGGAGGTTTCAGAAACAGCCATGGAAACAGTTTCTCTCTGGTCTTCTCTTGCCCTCTTATCTTTTACCCCTCATTTCTCCTAGGAAGCCAAAGAAAGTAGAGCTGACTTTTCCCAAGGCAAGCTGTAGAAACCAGGTCTGCCAGCCATAAAACCTGAAAATGTTACCCTATTTTTCCTCCATCTTATGGTGTCAGAGTTGGCCATATAGTAATTTCTTGACATTCCTCATTTGATTTTAGGTCATAAGACCCCCCCCATTCTAGAAATGGCCTGCCCCATACCTGGAAGGAAGGAATGCTTCACAAAGAGACCAAGAAGAATCAGACAGGCCTCACTAGTAGTCATACCCTTTTTTTTCGACCATGCTTCTACCTGGATGTGTCTTCTTTATTTAATCTAACCATCAAACCTGATAGTTCACCCTGGGTCTTTGATCTTCAACCTGAAGGCTCCCATGTCAGTAAAACTCTGATCAAATAAATCTGTTGTATGTTTTCTCTTGTTAATCTGTCTTTTGTTGCAGGGATGTTGATTACTATCCTTTTTAATAGGCAAGGATCCCCTCTTTTCTGCCCCTACAGAAGGAAGCTCTGAGACAATATGAACAATTTGGTTGTTGTTGAGCTATTGTTAAATTTAGATTATCTTTTGTTAAATCCTTTGTTCTAATTTTTGAAAAAGTGTCCCACATTTATCTGTGTTCTAACTTTTAGGTCAGCAAGTCTGACTGTAATATGGGCAGCCTCGACCTTGTTCTAGATCTTCATACTCTTCCTTTTCCTCCCTCTATACAATCTCTACCCCATGGGGCTTATGTTACCTTTCCGGCAAGCTGTTGACAGGTCTAATAAAGAAACCAGTGAGTCTGTCATTCTCAGGCCATGTGCATCCTCAAAGGGGATTTTAATTATTACTGCTTTACCTACAAGGTGTGATTCCTAACCCAGAAGATGAGGATGCTGTAACAAGTCAGTAGGGAAGTAGAGGCTCAGTGTAAAATCACGTGTGTGATACAAGTACTTATGCCAGTGGGGCTCGTGTCGTTGGGGACAGGGTAAGTAAGAGTCCACATTTTCTCTCCCACATAGCATTCCTTTTGCCAGCGTTTTGTATTTTATTTCATTCTTATAGTGTAATCGAGCAGGTGGCGGAGCTACACAGACTGCATAGAGCAGGATAGTAGTATACTGAACCTGGAATTTACAAAGAATCCACAAAATATGGCTTTTACACCACAGTTACCTCTTTAGCAACATGACTTGGGAAATCTGTGTCCCCCTCTGGGGGGTCTGTGACCTGAACTTTTAATTGCGCCATACTGTGTTTTGTTTATTAATTTACTTTTGGGGAAAAAAAAGTTTTTTATGAAATTCAATTCTTCATGCATACACAAAATGAAATTGAAATAGATCGTAGACCTGTTGTAGTCACTGGTAAACAGAAAATCCAGATTCTTGTATCCGGCATGGATGCAACTGCAGGATATGTAGCCATAGCAGGTATAATAAACTGATTGAAACGATTGGGAAGGAGTTCAATAAGTATATGGCCAAGGGAAGCCGGGAAGCAGGAGACGTATCTGTTTCAAGATGTTTAAAAGATCTCACTAATCTGTGGCAGGGGAAAAACCTGAGCAATTTTTGATCACCAATAATTGATGAATGGAGGGGGGTTTGGGTAGTCCCTGGGCTAGGGTGTGGACAATCTGTGCATATTTGCAGTTGAAAAGGAGGTTCAGAGAGAGTGAGAGAGAAGAGAGAAGAGAGAGAGAGAGGATCCATCTGAAGTACAACATGTCAAGTAAACCCTGTCCCAAGTGTCCCAATCTTTCCTATGTCCTGGCCTGCCTCAGACCTACATGTAGGTTAAAACCACACAACTTCTAGAAGAAATGCAGGAGGAAATCTTCACAGACTTGGAGTAGGCAATATTGCTACTCCAAGAAAAAGAAAAGATGGGTAATTAAAGACTTATTAAAGTTTGAAAATTCTACTCTCAGCAAGACACCAGTAAGAACTCAAACAAGGAGTATCTGAATTATATCTCAGTAAAGCTCTAGAAACCAAAAACCAAAAACCTCTTAAAAGGCATGCCACAGAATAACAAAATATCTGACAATAACAAGATGACCATCAACTTAACTAAAAAAAAAAAAGATCAAAAGATTTGGACACGTCCACAACACAAAGCAGATATTCAAATGTGCATACGGCGATATGGAAGATGTCTAACACTATTAGTCATCAGGGGAAAACCTGCAGTCCCAAGTACCCAGGAGGCCCGAGGAGGCAGGCTGACTTGGCCCCAAGTTCCATGACAGCTTGGACAACATAGGAGACCCCATCTCAAAACAAAAACAACAACAAAACACACACACACACACACACTGAAAGACCACCATGTGGCTGAAATGAAAAAATCCCAACAATAAGCTGGGTTGAAAGCTCTAGAAACCAAAAACCAAAAACCTCTTAAAAGGCATGCCACAGAATAACAAAATATCTGACAATAACAAGATGACCATCAACTTAACTAAAAAAAAAAAAGATCAAAAGATTTGGACACGTCACAAAAGCAGATATTCAAATGTGCCAACCGATATGGAAAGATGCTCTACACTATTAGTCATCAGGGGAAAACCTGCAGTCCCAAGTACCCAGGAGGCCGAGGAGGCAGGCTGACTTGGGCCCACAAGTTCCATGACAGCTTGGACAACATAGTGAGACCCCCATCTCAAAACAACAACAACAAAACACACACACACACACACACTGAAAGACCACCATGTGGCTGAAATGAAAAATCCCAACAATAAGCTGGGTTGATGGTACATGCCTGTAACCTATTACTCTGAAGGTGGGATGCGGAGTATTGAGGTTTGAGACCAGCCCATGCAAAAGAGTTAATAAAACTCCATCTCAAAAAACAAGCCTGGCGTGTTAGTACATGCTCCCAGCTATGTAGGAGGCAGAGGTAGGAGACTCCTGTTAATCAGAGGCTAGCCCTGGGCAAAAATATAAGACCTATCTAAAAAACAAACTAAAGCAAAAAGGACCTGGGAGTGACTCCAGTGGTAGAGCATGTGACCAGCTAGTAGGAGGACCTGAGTTTAAACCTCAGTACCACCAAAAAAAAAAAAAAGAAAGAAAAAGACTTATGATACCAAGCTATGTGGAACAGCGAGAACTCTTACACTATGTGACAATATAACACTGCACAACTACTTCGGAAAATACCTTGGAAATTTCTTATAAACATAGACATACTTCAGGATCAGAAATTCTACTCGTAGGTATTCATCCCAAAGAAATTAAAATACATGTCCACACTGTTCAGAGCAGTTTTATTCATAATAGCCCAAACTGGAAACAACCCAAATGTTAATAGAAGTCAGTGGAAAAGCCGATTCTGGAATCAAATGGAACACTTTTTAGTAATAAAAAGAAATGACCTAGCAAGTTCAATCCTTGAAACCCCTCCCCCTACCAAAAAAAAAAAAAAAAAGGAACTAACTGCTGATACATACAATGGCATGGATACATTTCAAAAACACTCTGGTCAGTGAAGGAAGCTAGTCCCAAAGTACACAGTGTATTAGCTCTTTCACAGGAAACCAAAAATACAATTCCAATACAGAGGGCTGACAGCAGACGGTTGCTGCCAGTGGCTGAGATGGGCAGATTGACGGGGACAGAATTTTCATGGTGATAAAGTGTACATCTGGATTGTGGTGGTGTATACATGGTATATAATTTGTCAAAACTCATAGAGATGTATACGGAATACTGATGTTTTTATTGTAGATAAGATGTGAAAGGAATGTGTTTCTTCAAGAAGAAACATTGAAACTTTTGGCCAAAACAAAACTGTACAGGAAAACATCCAGCAAATACTATACATGAAAAAGTGCAGAAATTTGAACAAAATGGTGGGAATGGGAGAAAATGGAGTAGTATTTCATTGTCCCTGTGTGCAGCACGTGGGTTAAGACCTTGCAGCCAAAGAAAAGGAAATCCAGTCCTAGCACCAAGCGTGGCAATTCCGTGAATAACATTTAACTCATCATCGTGCAAATGCTGTGTATGGTTTTCGTCTTTTAAGGGAACACTTAATTATGTAAAGTGTGAATGTTACCAACCTTGATGTAAAAATACAGTTGACAAATGGGAGTACTGAAGGAGGAAGGGAAGGAAAGGTAAATGGAATGGTTATGGTGTCCTTATAAAGTAGGAAGCTGAGATTTACAATCCATTGTGAAGAGGAAAGGACATTTGGTACTTACGAGATAGCCATAAAATTTCTAAAATAATAATGTAACTGTTAAAAGCATGAAATAACAGCATGAAGTCAACAGGAAATGGCTAAAAATGTAGGGTTCAGGTGTAATATCTGTAAGAGAAAAATAGGACCTAGTGTATGTGAATATATCCCAGAGATTTTTCAGAGTCAGAAATAATAATTGCAGATTTTTCAAAATTAAGAAAACAAAACTGAGGTAATCATAAACCCTAAGAAAAATAAAAAGGTCAAAAACTAAAAAAAAAGCTTCAATAAAATTGATAGCTGATTTAGAAAAAAAGTATTTATTT